TAATGGATTAACTTAAACTTCTGATTAGCAGATTATTTATTTCCAACAAAAATGCAAGTGCAAGCTGAATTTCAGCGCTTTCAAAAAGGCATTGAAAGGCATTTACCACATATATGCACATATAACCGCAGGTACTCAGCTGGCGGATTGACACACTGTTTAATTCCAACCGCGTGATAGAATCTAAAACTATTTGGCAAATGGCTCTAAAAACGAAAGCCTGACAACCACTGAAAGTGCACTTAATAACATGAAAGGTTTTAAGGTATTATCCATCAATAAAAAAAAACAAATACTGCACATTAGATTTTTATGTGTGCCTTTGTCTGGCAATTTTTTAAGACAAATAAACCTTTGAGGCACTAACTGAATGTTTTCATTTTAGCTTTGAATTCTGGGATTCTGTGCATTGCCCGAACCTAACCTCTTGCATTGTTTAGAACCATGGAGAAATATTATAGGTCCCTATTATCTCTAAAATCTTTGCTCATACTATGGGGAATCATTTGGGTAACAAAGTACTGCATGCAATTAAATCAAAAGAAATAATAGTGCATTAACACAATAAGTTTCCTAGCCCTGTATATATAAAAATATATATTAAAAAGATCTACTTTTATCAAAGAAGAATTTTAATCATTCATACATCTAAGGGACGTCAGCCTAAAGTAACATTCTGTCAGACAAATCTTCACCACAGGGACAGGCTACAGAGCCCTAAAATATCCATCCCGCTCCTCTGAAAAAGGGAATCAGACCAATCAGGCTTATCTGTGTTTCATTAGGCGAATGTAAGCACTCGGATGGTGATCAATCGCCAAAGCAATATAGAAGATGCCAAAGTCCAGCCCCCTTCCGACGCGCTACATCTGACAGGCTCACATTAATTTATTCATCGCTTTCTGCTTTAATAATTTCCTGACGTTTCTTTCCTGAACCACAAACCACAGACATGGGATGCTGTCTTAGACCTGAGTGATTAGACCTGATTAAGTTGCTCTCCAGGACCTCCTGCACATGTAACTTCCAACAAGATAGTATGTTTGTAGTTATGATTTGTAGATGTAATACTTTCTCTATTTACAGAACGCTGCCTTTTCTTGCACGCTACAGCTGTCGGCTGATGAATTTTAAGGCCATCAGTCAAATGCCTAATCTTGTAGAGTACTGGTTGTGATTACATTTATTCTGTAGCATCAAGAGTTGAAATTGATACGGCAATATATCGTAGAGCCCTGAGCCAAATGGAGAAATACAAAGCTACTGACTCATATTGTCCATCATTGGCAAGGAACAGCAGAACCCACGTGATACATGACTTGCTTTCTAAGTGGCCTTACTGGAAGAGAGGTACCACTCCCTGGATGGTAAACACCAGACACTCAATACTGGTATCCATCATGGAATAACTGAGAGTACATTGATTAGCACACTGCCCGCTTTTCTTAAAGCACCTCATGCCAGTCATCCTCCAGTTTGTTCGAATGATGGGAAGGTCACTGGATCAAATCCTAGGGTTGGCAGAGTGGCTTCACCATTGGGCCCTTGAACAAGGCCCTTAACCCCCAGTTGCTTCAAAGTCTGTTCCTGCTTTCTCCAAAAAATGTATGTCGCTTTGGATAAAAGCGTGTGCTAAATAAATTAAATGTAAACATACAAATGAACATTTGCGTTTGTTTACGTAAAGCATAAATGTAAGAGCCTCGTCTCGTTGTGAGTCCAAATCCACTCCCAGCCCTACGTGTATGTTCGGTCTGTCTCCATCTTCCAAAGCCTCTTGCTCACATGACATTTTTGACTGAATTGATCCAAGCATGTGTTGTGTGTGTCCTAGGTGATGGACTGATATCTCTGTGATAAGGTTGGATTCTGATCACTGTGACCATATATTAATAAGCAGTGGAAGCGAAAAAGGGGTAGACAGTGGAATAAAAATAACTGAAGACTTTTTTTCCAGTGTGAAGGACACACTGGAATGCAGCGCTTACTCAAAACACTAGGGCAGCTGTTTTGTATAATAAATTATTTATAGATGGCAGTAAGTCCTGCTTTTGCTTTGAACTTGCCGATGACCCTACTGTGTTCCTGCTTATGTAATATGGACTTATCTAATGATTTGTTGGTAGAATGAGAAAATACTTGGTAATAATTTGCATGCCTGCACAATGAGTAGTGGACAGAGAAGGTCACAGTGCTCTGCCTCAGCAGTGAGCACAGGCATGAGTGTCGGCTTTGCGGAGGCGCTCCGTTAAGCCAGTTGCGTTTTAGCAGCGGCGATGATCAAGAGTTGGTGAGGAATGCCATCTAGCTGTAAAATTCCAGACAAAGCTGAAAACTGCTGCTCAGCCAGGGCATGGTGATGTGTAACACCCTGGAAGTTAGAATCTCCCCTCAGTGGAGGGGACACTGTCCACATCAAGAGAGTGAGTCAAGTGACTGTCATCATTCACGCTGATCCACTCCACCTTCTCCTCATTCCCTGTATGACTGGGACCTGCTGTCTGACTGTGACCCCAGACTGGGGCTCTGAGGTCTTCGCAATGTCTTTCTTGTATTTACTTCCCCAGCCAAACAGAAATTTTACACTCATTTATTTAGGAGGCTTTTGGACGTCCAGTCCGCCCTGAAAGGGGAATCCCCAAATAAATTATTCTCTGAGCTCCCTTGGTCACATGGTCCCGTTCAATAAGCCGCCCAACTTCCCTACTATAATGTGTAAAAACATACCACATGCTATTTGGAAAAATTATATAATAACTGTTATTACTGCACTTTAACTGTAAAGACATGGCTTTTCTAAAAATGAAAAAAGGATCAAGTATATCCAGTGTTAGATTAATGTAACCGGCAGTTGAACACCAGCTTTTGTGGCATACCAAATACACACTCAACAAATACATACCAAATACACACTCAACAAATACATACCAAATACACACTCAACAAATACATACCAAATACACACTCAACAAATACATACCAAATACACACTCAACAAATACATACCAAATACACACACAACACTGAGGGAGCCATTTTGAAGGGCTTACATAAAACATCCGATTGGATTGAATATATCAATGAGCATTGACACTCCAAACGCAGCCTATGCTCCTATCCCACAGAGGTCTTGTTTTCTTTATTTTAACGACATTTCCTTACGATGTTTATTTCTCCAGTACTCACCCATTTAAGTCTGGAATAAGCAGTGGCAGTAGCCAGCCCTGAGTCATTGTGTAACAGTAGGCGCATCTAACAAACGGACCTTCATTCTAAGTGTGTGCTCATGTCGGACACGCAGGATATCATCCAGGAGGCCTCCATTTGCTTGATGTTACATGTGTTTGCCAGCATCTGTGTTTTTCTGAGGCGACATTGGGGTCTACATTGGGTTGAGTTCTGACTGAGGTACTGTATCTAAAATTAACAAATGACTCCACAACCCATCACTGTAGGAAGAAGAGAAAGTAAGAAGGGAAAATATTCTGTAAAAAATCAGCAGCATGTTAATACATTTTGGGGTTCTTAGCCCCTTAGAAAACTTGGCACAAACAGGTGGGGAGGCATACCTGCGGTGCCCAGCATCTCATAAATCACACTAAACAACATCATCAGAAATATGTGCAGTTTTATTTGCATGGCACTATAAAATAAGTTCAGCTGGGTTTTTCCCCTTATAGCTGTGAAATGTTGCTTTACACCATCCAGATAATACACGAGCGATGTAATTGGACGTGACGCTCCTGGCGTATGGAGAGATCTGACCGCGGTTTACACAGCTTTTCCTAATTTTCATGTGTGAAATGACACACGAGAGTGCGATGGCGCGGGCGAGCTGACCCTGAGATTGAAATGTGCCCTCAAAACGCTCTTTTTGCACAGTATTCTAGCAGATGATAATGTCAGCAACACCTCTCCAGCTGCAAGGCCTCCAGCCCTGTTATGATTTTACCATACAGAGAAGCTCCATTGTCCATTCTCTTCTCTCACTATATTTAATATCTTTCAGCAGACACAGAACACAGGGAGGCCTGTCAGTCACTCTTTCCCTCGCTGTCTTTCCGTCTCTCTCCCACTTTCATCCATTTTGAAACTGGAGTTGCTCCCCACCTATATCTCCATCAATCCTGCACCATCTGGACTTCATTAACCTCGCGCCCAAGACTTGGAAAGAGGGCAGCTCCATGTGTTCTGCGTCTTCTACGGGAAGCTTCCCAAGGAACGGGGGATGAAACGTGCGCGCGTGTGCGTGTTTTTGTGCACGCGTGTATGCCACGGGAATTTGAGAGGCATTAATTAGCGCTGGCGGGCCCTGTCTAAGCTGAGCTGATGGAGGTGGAATTGAAATTTTTGAACAACGTGACCTGAAGTGCTTGGAAATATGAGACAAATGAATTGCTTGTCCTGCGCAAGGCAGCAAAACTTAGCTATTCTTTAAAAACTTCAAAAGCTTATCGAAATTGTTGTTGTGCACGGCCTGAGAGACAATGAATGGTTCTTCATCGTGTCCCACACGTTGGCCTGTCTGCTTGTGTCACATGCACGGGTCACATGAACGCCGATCCACATAGAGGAGAAAATGAACAGATATATTTGTTATGGTACAGTGGTACAGAGTCAGGGGGTTCCCCCAGTACATGTGTGGCTTTCTTCTGGATACTCCAGTTACCTTCTCCAGTCCAAAAACATGCGGTTAGGTAAAGTGGGGTCTCTAAATTGTCCAGTCTGTGAGTGAGTACCCCTGCCATGGACTGGCATCCCATCCAGGGAGTCCATTGCCTTGTGCGCTGTGGTTCCTAGGACAGTCTCCAGGCTGACCGCGACCCTGGGGTGGATTAGTGGTTAAAGAAGATGGACAGACATAACTGTTTATTATGTGAGATATTACTTTCAGCTTGTATAGAATAAAAGATGCATGGTGACATGGCATGTAGTGGCAAGCCGAACAGCTCACTGTTCACTTTAACCAAACAGACTTGTATATCTCTGCGCCCCCTCAGGGTCAGGGAAACAACGTTCCAAACATCAGGACAGTTCCTCTACGAGGAGAGACTCAAAAAGGAAGTCACAGAAGAGTCTACGGGCCCAGGCACAGGACCAGCACAGCGCTCACCTGTCTACGGCTAGGCCACGCCCCCGTCACCGCCGATTCGCCAGCTGGGACAAGGCCGCCGCCCCTCAGTGCCAGGCTCCTCTGTCCCAGTAACCTCGCGGGCCCCGGCTGTCCATCTGTGGCGCACAAATCCGGCGGCATCGCTCTCTGTGATCTTGATTCTGAGAAGGTGAATTGCGGCGAAACAGCGCTGGCCTGATAACCCATCAGAAATGAGGACAGGAAGAAGCCTGATAAGCCCAGCACTGCGACTTAGGGGGGGAGTGCAGAATGTCATACAGGAAACCAAAGGATCGAAATGGAGCCAAGAAATGGGGGCATTTGTATAAACATATTTTTTCTGATGGAGATAGTTTCATATACAGCCCTTATGTTTATAATAATATGTACATTTGAGAATAATGTATACAGAAACCATCCATAGGCTGCAGTGTATGTTTTTTTTTTCTCAGCACATAAAATGATTACTTCAAACTGCTTTTTGCTGTTAATGTACATTGTGGAAATTCTGTCCTTTGGCTAAGCATGGCAATTCTGTTGTGTACAAAGTGCTGAGTAGGTGCTTAAATATTCTTAAAAATGAAAAGTTTTTTCAGTACTTCCGCTGTGTTCAGAATGTATAAACATTAAAATTATAATATGCAAACACATAGCAGCCACATTTATACCATTTGTATGGTATCTGGGAATTATTTATTTTTTTTAACTGTGTTCTTTTTTTTTCTTTTTTTTTGAATGTTTGTAGAACATTCTTTCTTGTACAGCAACGCCTAATTTTGCTGGAACCCACACCAAGGGTGAACAGCGCATCAGTCTAATAAAGTCTGTAAAAGACCTGCTAATCTTATTTATTAAAGCCGACCTGCTAATTTCATTTGAGTATTTACAGTGCAGCGCTGAGTGTTTCCTGGTGTTGTTAACGGTAAATCAATAATGCAGTTAGGTGTGTATAATATTAGCCAGAAAATGTGTTTGGTGTCTTGCGATTGTGCATTTCATGGGAGTCTAATGAGGTCTGGTAATTATGTATATATAAAATTAGCTAATTGGCAAACCCGGGATCCATTACTCAGCAATCATGTATAATATATCCACACGTGTTTATTCTTATATATTACAGTTTCCACTTCAAAAGTTTTTCTCTGCACATTTTTCACATAAGTTTGAACTTTTTTTGCTCGCTTAAGATTCAGAGCTCAATTTATTTATTCCCCCGAGTTGCCAAAGTTTAATGGATACCACGGCCAATTTAAGCTTGACTCATAGTAACTAGTGTCCTTTGAAAACGTGAGGCCCAAACAGCCAGCTAGTTTATGAAAGTATCACATAAATCATCTTTTTTTTTTCCAACATGCAGAACTTCTTTGAAAATTCAGCCCACAGACTAGATTTACTAAAGCATAGGCTCCTCAGCTCACGCGCACAGCTTCCCAATGGCCAAAGGTCATCACTGAAAATACTTTCCTTTTTTCTGCCCTGTGAGATTTGCCTAATTCCAGGTACCGTTTTCCTCTGTTTTAGATACAGCCGCAGGAGATAATATCACCGTGTTCTGGTAGTAAATCTTTCATGGCCGTGGGACCCTTTGTCCAGTACAAAGGAAGCCTGTTCCACGTAACAGACTCGAAAACGCATAAATCAAAATGAATCTTGCGTGCATCCTGGTGACGTGGGAGGTGTCCATCTTTTCAAAGTGCTCCCCAGTGCAAACTTGCTTTACCCATTACAGCCTCTCATTGTTGCACATCTACAGTTTAATGAGCACATCCTAGTTACCCTCCTGCAGTGACTTAAAGGAGTCAATGTGAGAGTAATATAAGGAAAGCAGCTCTGGTTGAGTGTGTTTATACCAGCAGACAACACAAGAAAATTGTTTATAAAATAAAAGAAATCGAGAAATATAGGTTGCATGAATACGGCACTTCTTAGGTTTTTTTTTTTTCTTTCTCTCTTCTCAAAATGTGAAAGAAAAAATTAAAAACCAAAAAATACATAGCTTAACTGCTATTTTAACCATGTACGAATTCTATATACAAATACAGAGTGAGAGTGAGTAAGGTAAGTCCTTCCGGAGCCTAAGGCATACGTTTCATTGTATACTTAAGCCAGCTACTTGTTGATTGGTAAATAATACCAACTATGCAGATTTGTGACTTGTGCATTGTGATCCTAATGCACTCCATTAGATTACTTAATATTTATTTGAATTAGCTTTAGTTCCTTTAATTCCTCCATGTTTAGACAAGACATCCATTGTAGGTTGCAAAGCAGTCTTTACGTTGGATGCTCTTTTGGATGGATCTGTATTCCAGCGAGGAACCTGGGTTTTATGACGTTAATCGGAGAAACAGTGCTTTCACACACCTCCTGAGATCTAAAATGCTAACCTACCCCCGTTCATTGTGCAATGAGAATGAATATGAATGAATGGATTCAGAAAAATGTGTCTTATGGGCTTACAATCGCCCATCAAGCAGCGCTAATTCATTATTGATTGCTAACGCTGTCAAGTGCACATTTCAGGTTACACAGCCGGGCTTCATTAAGCTGCTTTTACTCAGTAAAACAATCATTATACGCGTCAATAAATGTGTTTATAAGGAGTAATTGCCTGTGACGGCTTGTGGAGGCAGCAAGAGGAAATGAAGCTATTGTATGCGAGGCATATGTGCCGTGAAAGCCGCGATTGTTCCCCACAGTGCAGTGTGACGGGAATCACCAGGAACAGAAAGCCGGGAGAGGATGGCCGATCTGATCATGACTTTCTACTGAGCCTCACAAAAGAAGTAAAACCTGTAAATCAGAGGAAAAGTCATTTTCATAAGAAAATTTATGAGTCTGCACACTACAGTTACCATTTCACAGGTCATAAAAGAGATACTCGATATGTTTTACATGAAGCCCCGAAAAGCCGGGCCTCTGCGTCCCGTAGAAAATCTAAGGCAGCCTGCAATCTCCGTACATCCTATTTTCCCCTATTTTCATGGTGCTAGTAATTACTTGGAAATACGTCTTGCCTGGATGTTTATTCCATTAGTGCGAAAGGGGAGGACACTGGCTTTTTAAAATGTTTTTCTAAGACGCTTGAGGTAATATTATCGACCAAGGGCCGTTTCCTTGGGCAAACCGCTTAATCGTCATCCTACTGGAAGTAAAGCAAGTGTGAAGAGCTGCAGAGTCGCATGTGCTCTTTATGACTCATGGCAACATGCGTCTCAAACCTGAGCAAAAAACCATTAAAATAAAGTATTCCTTTCCTGTGCCAGCTGAACACAGTGGAAACACAGTTTGGTTTGGCTAATTCTTAAAGCAGCTGCAATGGACTAAAAATCTGGGATTACCATTCTTTGGCACACTTTTCCACTCGCTTTGATTAAATGAGCAGAGCCGTCACATACTGAGGTTTCGACATAATTGAAAGTAAACCGCACTTTAACCCATTTTGGACTCTCTTCGCTTTCGATAAAGACATGGAGACTGACGCGTAACGTTTGCTCTGCTGCTATCCCGATGAAAGTATATGAAATCTTCATCACAGTCGCATGCTGCGGTAACTGCTGAGCACACTGCTTTGTGAGGAAGAGGATGGAGACGAAGAGCTGGGTTGGTAACCAGAGCAATACCCGCGGGTACATCGAGGTACACTATCAGCTTAAATAAGATTAAGTTGGGCTTCATTGATCCCAGAGGGAAATGCTGGTGCATACAGCAGCAAGAATGTAGTGCACAGATGAACATCCATCCATCCATCATTTATTCAGGGTCAAGGGGGGGTCCGGAGCCAATGGGCACAAGGCAGGGAATAACCCAGGATGGGGCACCATCGCAGGGCACAGCCACATGGGCAATAACAAAAAGCCTGACAGATAACCTAAACCAGGGTTTCTCAACCCGGTCCTCGGGGACCACCAGACGGTCCATGTTTTTGCTCTCTCCCAATTCCCTGCCAATTGGGAGAGAGCAAAAACGTGGACCGTCTGGTGGTCCCCGAGGACTGGGTTGAGAAACCTTGACCTAAACCATTTGGGGTGCCAACATTTGAGGGGGCACGGACTCGGGGGGGTCAGTGCTCTGTCGAAGTGGACAGAGGGAAAGGTGTCAGGCGCACTGTTAGGTTAGTATGGCAGGCTTCGGTGTCGCACAGACTACCAGGTTTGACTCAGGACACTTCAGATGTTTAATGCACATTAATGTGTGTGACAGATGTGACTGAAACAGCCTCGTAGGTTATTTACATTTAGGAATTCAGCCGCATCACGTTTTTATTCAACAGGTGTTACTTTCGTGCCATGAATGGAAATGGAAATGCTTCACGAACGTCATCTGTCTATCAATTTAATTTTAAAATGATTTTAATTCGTCAATATTCATAAGGGAAAACTAAATTTGCGTGGATTGCGTAAAGGTCGCTTCTAAAGCTTATTTCCTGTGTCGTGAATGTTTGACAAACATTACCTGTGGCGAAAGTATTTTGAATAAATTTCAGATGCTGTGAAACCCAAAAAATATCAGTAACATAAAGCTGTTTTGTGACTTAATCTGGTACAGATCTAATTATGCGTGTTATGCAGCTTACACAGAAAATCAACGTTTCAAGAATAGGCAGCCCACATTTCACTAAGGAGCTGAGTGTCTGTATCAATGTGTGATCTGGGTTACTTTTCCTAAACTGATGTTAAATGTCTTGAGAAAGCTTCTGTTTTTTTTCCACATTCTCTTTTCTTACTTTTTTCTGTTCTCCATACCAGAAATCACATACTGTTCAGGCTTATTTCAAAGGTTTATGTCTAAAGAGGTACACCAAGAACCAGGAAACATGCTGTAAGCGTAGGAAAATGGGATTATGTAACTGTTCAGAAATCCAGAGAATGGTGGATGATATTATAGTTCTTTAAAGAGCTTGTGCTATGGAAATAATTGCTTTTGCACTGGATTTATACAAGAAACACAGTAGGTATGTGCTTGTATAACATGAGGGCAAATTTATATTATAGAGCATATTAAGGTAATTGCTGAACACAGAAGGGTTTTGTTTGTAGAGTTTGTGGGGGGAGGGGAGGAGAACGTGAGGAAGGGCCAAGAATCATGTGACACAGGCATGATCATCTGACAGGTATGTGAAAAAAATGCGGGATTTTTTGTTGTTGTCATGTTTTGCTTTTAACGTGTAGTGTATGAAATCTCACAGCAACAGTAAGAACAAAGAAATAGAAAAATATTGAAAAAAATATATGGATGCACAGAGTGCCGGGGTTCATGCTTATACTCTTAACACCCCATGCATACCGCAGGGCTGCTAACATCCACTCGCTCATTCTGTTCTATGCTTCCTGTGGTCTGGCAGGCGGCAGCACACGCAAGGCGTGCATGTGACTCTGCTCTGTGGCGGCAGGCCAGCCAGCGCCGGTTTGGGCCAGATTTTGGAGGCCAGTCTGGCAGCTTGGTGGTCGGATGGTCATTTGACCGTGGGAATCCGTCTACAGTTAAACGTCAGCTTTGCTTCTTCAGCTCTCTCTGTCAGTGGCCGTCACCTTTCTTACGCCTGTCTCCATAAAGTTTGACCGTCTCCTGTTTTCTTCTGCTCAATAGACCCTAATCTGTCAGCAGGTGTACATTTCACAGAGGGCTGCACTTCTGGTTTCTAAGAACGTGTCTGCTTGGCTTGTCAGTGACTTGTGGTTGACCTGTTGGCTGGTTGTAACTTGTGCCAGTTGCCTGTTGGACATTCCTCTTGCTGAGCTAACTGATGTGGTCAG